ATTGTTAGATTCAGACATCTACAAACCGGGAGAAAATTCAAGTTAGTTGATAAGAATCCTTGATGTAACACCCAAATGAAACATCAAGGCTAGGATCCAACACAATACTCTACAACCTAGAAGAGGGATGCCGTAATCTAGTTGCAGAATATTTGAAGGTAGGTAAATGACGATTTACCAATTTCCACCATGAAAAACGAAAAAGAAGTTTAAGTTTTAAATGAATTGAAACTCCTAGATCTTTTGAGATTCATTGAACTTTTCAATGGCGTGTTTAATCTCGATTATGCCCTTCTATTTGTGACTGGGATGCCGAGGATCACAAATAAGGTGTGAATAACCATGCGAATCTACGTGGTGCACTCAATGCTACTATCACCTAATCAATGTGCCGGTTAACCACACACGCTCCATTGATCTATGATAAACATCGAGCCACCCTTCACTACCAATGTCAACCCCAAATTAGTGTGCCGGTTAACCACACACGCTCCACTAACGTTTGACAAGGGTACGAAGTGTAATTCCATGGATTAGCATACAATTTCACATTTTGCCTAAAGTAACTATGATTTGGGAATTTGTAAAAGCATTTAGTTACTTTGTACTTCATTATACTTATAATGGAAGGTTTCGTCCTATCCTACCCGTTCGGCTAACGACCCTCCACTAGTCAAGAGTGCGGTGGGTAAGAGTGGATACCCATTCAATCGCCATTTTATAGGCAATTTCCTTAAACACCCCTTATAGACCAGCTTCGTGAATGAGGCCTACTAACGGTAAGACTGACTTTTACTCATATATATATATATATATATAATATATATATATATATATTATATATATATATAATATTAGAGACTTTTAATGTATATATAGGATAGGGTGTATTTTACACTTTTAAAAATACTAGGTGGTTTTATTAACTTTCTCTTTAATTAACTTAAAAACCATGAGGGTGTAATTTGAACTTTTCAAAATACTAGATTTTTAGAATCTAAATATTACATAATTAAACTATTAATCAAGATTTTAAATTCCAAAACTTGAAGGCAAGTTTTGAAACAATTCAAAACATTAGGGTTTAGAATTTAAATATTTCAAAATTAAACTTTTAATCAAAAAATTTAAATTCCAAAACTTGAGGGCAAGTTTTGAAACTTTTCAAAACATTAGGGTTTAACTATTTAAATTTCAAAAAACAAAACTTTAAAGTTCAGATTTAAACTATAAAACCTAAAGGGGAATATTGAAACTTTTTCACAAGATAATTCAAATCCAAATTACAAATAATCAATCTTTATCTAATTAAACAAAAGATTATCTAAATTTTGACAATTATCTTCTAGTTTGGCAAGGATAATCACCTAATATTGATAAAAATCGGATTTTATTAATAAAAAACATTTTAGGTAATTATCCACAGCCAAAACAGGTCAAAATCCGGAAATCAGCTCCATCTGACTCGCTAACTCGTCGAGTTCACTATGGACTCGGCGAGTTCAGCCATGGACTCGGCGAGTCCAGCCCCCAGAAACCAAAAAATTTCGATTTTAAGCTTGAATAATCAAATATAGCATCAAATACATCAAACAAACAGCCCTAGGCTCTGATACCACTGATGAGTTTCGATCAATACATCATTCCTATGGTGTACATGCAAACCCTAATAGCTTTTGGATCTAGTTTGTCTAATGAATATGCAATTGATAATCCAAAGCCATAAACCCTAGATCTAATAAACTATAACTGAAATTAGGGTTTAGATCTTACATTTGATTGTTATATAGCAATAACAATCAATCCTTGGCTTCAGAAAGCTTAGTGCCTCAAGTGTTGCACCTCTAATGGAGTCACAAACACCACTAAGCAACTTGGATGAAGAGGGAGAAGAGAGGAGGCACCAAAAACGGCTGGAAACCCTAAAGGATTAGTTCACCACGTTTTTGGGGCATAGGGGGCCTTTATATACATGTAGGCTATTATGGTTTTCAACTAGGAAACCCTAATCTGACTGCTTAAGCCCTAAGCAGCCCATGGACTCCTTTAACATATCCCTTGGACGAATTCCTTATGGGCTTCCCATAGAATTCGTCCAACCTATATATTATTAGGTGATCCATAGCCCAATTGTAATTATCTTATAAATACAATTCCAGTCCCCTAAGTTTAATTAATCTCTTTTAGCCACAAAATTAAATCTTAATTAATTCTTGACTAATATTAATTAAACAATATGATTTCTCCTTTAATATATTATTCTCATAATATATTAATAAATCATAATTAAACCTTTCTCTCCTTAATTCATCCTACATATTGTTATGGTGAAGGCAACCCAAAAGGACTATGCTCATAATCGGGTCAAGTACATACCAAAATAGTTATGGACTTAGACACTAATCCAACATCTTTATGCAAGAAATGACAATGTACTTTTATTGATTTGTTTATTATATAACATCCTACTTCTCAAACCAACAATTTTCTTAATGAATTAGAAATTGAACATACATTGCTATAATTGGGTAGAGTTTTTAACAATCATGTAATAGAAAGAAGTGTAAGTAGGATGATGTAATATACAAATTATGAAAGTATGTTGCTATTTCTTGTATAGCTATAATTGGTGAAAATGGTATTGTATTTTTCACACCCATCATTAAGATTGGTTCCATAATTTGATATGATGTATTAATATGTATATTTATGTGTTCCTTTTTATTTTGTAGAAGTTGAAAAGTTGAAAAGGAAATTGTCAAGCAAACTTGTTGAGGGGTATTTTAGATATTATACTAACAATTACTCATGGTTTTGTAGATTGCCGAGTGTGGATGTATGGTGGAGGCCAAACTTTGAAACTTTTTCTATCACAAAAAATATGTCGGTAATCTACTAGTGAGATATTCCGAGATTCCGTCGGTAATCCGTTAGTGAATTATTTCGTCGGTTGCAAACACATTCCGTCGGTAATCCGTTACAAAAAATAATTTCGTCAGTGATCCGTTACTAATTACCGACGGAAAAATCCTTCGCTAAAATTTGTTGTAGATATTAGAAATCTGTTACAAACAATTAGCAACAAGAATACACCGGTGGATTTTGGTCTGTTGCAATTCCTTCAGAGTATTAGTGACGGATTACCGATGGTTTTGGCCGTCGGTAATGCTCTTTTTCGTAGTAATGTGATTAATTTGTTAGAATGATAACTCTTCGTAAAAATTGTGGCCATAACCAACAAAAAAAATATTAAGATTTTTCCCAATTACACGTATAAAATTTAGAACTTTTATAATATTAATCTTATTTTTAATACAAAACCTTCTTCTAAACCCGATGTGGGCTATTATTATTGTGTGGAAGTATTAAAGAAGTGTTTTGAACAGTGTTCGACGTAGGGTTGGCAAATCATGCTATCGTTTCGTGTTTCTGTCTGACACGACACGACACGACAAGGTTTTATGTGACACGAACACGACACAATGTCGTGTTTTTTCTAACTAACACGAAAACGAACGAATTAAAAAAACGACAAACACGATACGACACGACAAATATAACATTTACTAAAACCTAGTTTATTTAGTGAATACTTTATCAAATATAACACGAAAAACACGAAAAACACGATAAAGAACTACTAAATCGTGTCAATTTCGTGTCGAATTTTGAACACGAACACGACACGACACGACATCGTGTTTTTTACTGTTAACACGAATACGACACGAACACGAATTCAAATTTCAGTTTCGTCCCAATTTCGTTTCGTTTCGTGTATTTTTGTCGTGTCGTGTCATAAATTGCCACCCTAGTTCGACGGTCTAGAAAGACTTCTTTGATGTACAAAAATGGTCCCTAAGTGACATAAAATTGCATGATTGGTCCGTAATTTTGATATTTTCTTAAAGAAGTCCCTACATTTGATTTCTATTTCAGACCTGATCCCGCTTCACAAACGCAGTTTCAGGCATTCTGTTGGATCCTCAATTCTGCACATGAGGGTATATTAGATATACAGTACAATGCCAAAAGTCCCAACCCACGAACCACTATTGAAAACGAAAGCCCCTAACAACTGATGTCAAAAACCGAGCGAATTGAAGAAGCATTGATGTTGAACCGTAAATAAACACATTAACAATGGTCAAAAAAATTGACCAAATTTATAGTCAACAACAAATTATTATGTTTTACTTTTAATACATGCATCCTTGCACCCGAAATCCACCATAGTGAGGAATACGTGACCTGTTGATGGACCTCAATCCGATACGTGTGATTGGCTCCTTTCTCTAGAATCTTGACCCTACACCTTTCGTTTACACATCCTCTGTTGGTTCAGCCCCACAAAACACACACAATCACACACACTTAGACTCACATAATGTAGATTTTGAGTTTTACAACCTGAGCGCTCTTCATGGATCTCACAATTTACATTAAATAAGAAAGAAACAAACTTGATCCTAAAGAAAAGAGAAAAGGTACCTAACCTACTGCTACATGAACTTCCTAAAATCCAGGAAGAACAAGCCCATGACTTGTGACCCGGTAAACTCTAATAAAACTTGTAAAATAAAAGAATAAATGTGTTTGTTACAATATGCTAAACTATTGTAAACCCGTGAACTGATCCGGGTGATCCGCGAACAAACCGATTAACCCAACATCCTCGGGGTCAAATCGGTATTTTTGTTCGCCATAAGAGAATTTCGGATTTGTAAAGTTTCTTGTTCTGGTGAGGAATGATTTGAATTGATTCATTGATTTTCAAGTAAATAATCCAATCCAGAAATTAACGTTCATCAGTGTCATGAAGTTTCTCTCTGGTAAGCGACACTATATATATTAAATCGGTTTTTGTTTCATGGGAATCCACGGGTTATAGTGGTTACACATTACTTAAACCATTCCAAAGTCTTAAACTTATAGAAAATTTGGTTTTAGTTTCAAAATCAAGCAAAAGATGAAACAATTCCCGCAAAAGTAATTGAAATACACCATAGTTTACAATACAAATACATATCTTCACAAGTAGTAAATATTATTTATTATCATGATTCATGAATATACCGGCGACATTTATTTATTGGACAATCACTTCCCTTTAATCAATTTATTGTTACCAAGCAATTAAAGTGGATGTCGGCGATATTTATTTATTGAATATATGGGCGAGATCATGGTTGCTTGAGAAAATGAGCATCCATATTTCCGGCAATTCCACAAAGCAAGTCCAGATACGATGTTGGATCCGGTATACTTGCATTCGCCTTCTCGAACTCTATAGTCCAGATAACAAACTTCTTATCGCCCACATCTTTGGTCGTAAGGGTGTTGATAAAGGAATTATACACCTTCAAGATATCTCCTTCAATCAGTTTGAACGAAATTTTGGGTAGTTCATCATCAACTTCTTCAATGATTTCTTTCCCAGTTTCCTTTTTTCCATCTACGGAAAAACCATAATTAAGTAGTTTGTACATACATGCATAGATATATGTGTTTGTAGTAGTGGTATAGATCTAACATTGAACAAGTTTTTATGTTGAATATTAGCACAAATGAGTAGTTTACCATGGTAGTAGTGCCACTCAACGACAGATCCAGGAACACCCCATTCACCAGACACCAGATGGCAAGCTTCAACCTTAGCAGGGTCGACGACTGACGAGTCATGTGGCCTGTGCTTGTAGAGTTCAAAGACCTGGTGACAATGACATTTGACTTCAACTTCACGTGATATCTTTCCTTTTATAGCCATCTCTTTTTCTTGCGAGGTAGCTAGATAGTTGTCTACTAATGGTGGTACTTGAACAAGTGAGGCATGAGGCACTTATATATGGATCATGGATATTGCGCGTGTTTTTCTTCATGTACCAGTGATTGTATGCTTGTACATCTTCAAGCTTTACATGACGTCGAAAATTTAATAAAGATTTGTATACCACTTCCAATGTGAGACCAATACGAAAAGATTGCTATACCATTACTGTGCGTTATTTATTTTATCATAGTACTATTGGTACACATGGTGCCAGTGTGCGATCTCACCGGACCTCCAACCATAAGGGGTCTCGGATTAAGAATTTTCTTTAATATTATATTACTAAAAAAGGTAGAAGAAAATAATAATAATATGTTAATTAAAATATAATTGCATGTTACAAATCTCATTTATATTATTAACAATAAAAATTATGTTTGTTAAAATAGTGGACTTTTTTTGTTTTTACCGATAAGAAATTTCCTTAATTATATTTTACAAAAAAAGGTATGGGTTTTAATTTAATTTTTGCATATGGCCTCCAATATCTCAAGGTCAGGCGTGTTGGTACAAATCACTATTATAATAATGGCACGTATTTAAGTATAAGGACCGGACGAAAGAATGTTTCCTAAAGAAAGACTAGATAATTTGAAGCTGTTAATTTCTTTCCTGCTCGTAATGTGTCTCGATGCCAAAGTTTCCTGAACCAACTGAAACAAGGCCTAACTAAGGAAAAGAGAACAAGAAAAGCAAAAGTGATTCCTAATACAAGAGTAAAAATAGGAATAAGCATCCAAACCCCTTTACGCACTCCGTAACAAGAAATAATATATTATGTTAAAGACAGTCCTTCGCGTAAGTTGAACAATATTAATTAGACCTTTCAAAACAAAAGGTTGTGATGGTTGCTATGAGAAATTTGTATAAATCATGAAAAAAACAAGATTCAAGGAAAGTATAATTAGACTTAGCAAATGTACCGTGTCGTGTTGAGTTCCTGTCAGGTTAAAACTTAAGCAGGTTGAGAAATCTTGATTTTAATCCAACTCGATTCATTATCGTGTCATGTCGTTTTAACACGTTTATTTTCGTGTCGGCTTAGCTGGTTTAGGGTGTAAACCTTGTAAACAGTGGCAGAATACTTAACGGCCAGGAGAGGGCCGAGCTGTTTTTGGAGCTAGTTTTTCAAAGGAGGCTACAAAGGTTTTGATTGCTTAATTCGACTTAAGAAAAAGGTATGTGATTCTATTCATGATTTTGATATCATAGGATTTATGGTTTTTGTTTATTTAGTGTGTTGCTATTAATAGTGAAAAGATATAGATCCATTTTAGGTTGCATATACCGTTAATAGTTAAATGAAATTCCGCATATACAATTGAATTGTAACCTAAAAAACTCAATAGTGGAATCAGAGCCATGTTTTTTAATTGATAGTGAATAGTAGATGAAACCTTAAAAAAAACATTTGCAGAGCGCGGTGTGCCTAGGCACGACACGTCTTTCGAAAGTTCGTTTGTATCCATATATGCTTGTCTAATTTGATTAGTAAGTTAATTATTAGTCATTATCTGTAATTTTACCTAATAAAAACAAAACCAAATAATACGAGATAATTTTGAAACACTAATTCGAATTTTGAGAAATTTAAATAAGGAAACAAATATTTAATTATAAGATAATTAAATGGAATTATCCTTAATGGATTTTGATATAATATTTAATTAACGGTTTAATTAAAAGATAATTATAAAATCCATAATTAGTTTAAAAGATTAATTAATTAATTGTTAATTCAGATATTTAAATTTAAACATTGTGTTTTGAAAAGTTTTAAAATATACCTTATACATATATATAATATTATATTACTATATGTATCATTAAAAGTCAGTCGAATATCTAGTATACCTCATTCACGAAGTCATATTATAGGAGAGTTATAAGAAAACAACTTATAAAATGTCTGTTGAATTGGTGTCCTTTTCACCCACCGCTTCTTTGTATGGTGGAGGGTCGTTAGCCGAACGGATTTGATAGGACATAATCGTATTAAAAGTATAATGTATAAAGTACTAGAACCTTTTATAAAAGTCCACTCTAGTTACTTTTAGAAAAATGTGAAATTATATGTTAATCCATGAAAACACACATCATTTCTTTGTGAGTCATTAGTGGAACATGCTTTGTTCACCGACACACTAATGTAGGACTATAAAGACGAAATTATGGCACATAGTTGAATTTATGGGTGTTGATGGTGCGTATGTGATTAACTGACACATCAATGTGAAATCATAACTGACCTCGAGCATGTCACGCGGGTTTGCATGTTTATTCACATCTTGTTTGTGATCATCAGCATCCCAGTTACATATTGAAGAGCATAATCTAAGATTTAACATGTCATTGAATAGTTAAATGAATCTCAAATGATCTACGAATTTGATATTATATTGAAATTGGTAAAATGCTTTACCTACCTAAAATAATTTCGCAATTAGATTATGACACCCCTCTTCATAAAATTTCTAATTGTATTTATGGACCCTAGACTTGAATATTAATTTGGCTTAAAATATTAAGGATTAAATCAACTAAAAAAATCTTATCTCTTGTTTAAGATGTCTGGAAATGGTGATATTCCTCTTCCTCCTCCTCCTCCAAGCACTCATAACTTCATTCTCTTGTCTATCGTCTCAAAGGACAATCTCACTGGCCCAAACTACATGGATTGGTTGCGCAATTTGAAGATGACGTTGAAATTTGAGAACAAGGATTATGTTCTCGAGAATCCAATCCTAGAAATTAACAAAGAATCTGCTACTCCTAAGCTCCAAAAGACATATGAGGACTATTGGCCCTTTGACATGAACTTGGCTCTTTCGAAGATGTTTTTCAAGAAATCAAGACAAGAACATTATGAAGTCGTCAATTCCCTTATGGGGTGCAAATTGAAAGATGGGGGAATTTGTGTGTGCTTATTGTGCAAAAAATGCAGAGACACCTGGAAAGATTGGAGAAGCTCAATGACATGCTGCTCAACTCCTTGCCTAGTAGTTATGATTAGTTCATCTTGACCTATCATTTGAATAACACTGAGACAACATTGATTGAGCTTCACAATCTATTGCAAACATCTGAAGCAATAATAAAGAAGTGTCATTCCAACAGTATTAAAAATACCCAAATCATGGCGATTCAACAAGGAAAAGACAAGAAGAGAAATGACCCTTCCCAACCCAAGTGGAAAGGGAAATCACATATTAAAGAGACCAATGGGTCAATGTGACATCCCGATTTTCACGGCCAGAAAAGACCGATTTTGTTTATGCTTTATAAAAATCAGAGTACCTCTTTTAGTGAAAATGTTGCGGAATTTGTTCCCAGTAAAACATGATAAATACGTTATCACAACATTTCCGAAGAAATGTATTTTTATTCATTTTAAAACATTTGGGATGTCATCGTCAATACAGAAACATAAGCATAAACAGAACTTACATTCATTTACACTAGTGATCTACATCTCTTTAATCTCTCAGTGTAATGTAACTTCGTATCGACACCTGTGATACAAATAAGCTTGAGTGGGTCAGGTTGGGAAACCTGGTGAGTACACAGGGATTTCAATCCCACAATGTTATATCATATATATAATTTAGAACTCACAAAATATACAATTTCACCATATATATATATATATATATATATATATATATATATATATATATATATATATATATATATATATATATATAAGCAACTCTTACCCCACCCCGTTAATCCTTACAACGAGACTATCCATACTCTCGGACCTTAAATTTTACCTGTCACTTAACCCATACTCTCAGATCTAATTCATGCTCTCGGATCAATAATTGTGCCCATTCCATACTTTCGGATTTAGGACAAGTGTCTATATGTAAATCCATTCTCCCGGATAAACGACGAATGACTATGTCCTATCCATACTCTCGGACTAAGGACGACTGACTATGTATTCATCCATACTCCCGGACTAAGGATAACTGACTATGTCTTAATCCATACTCCCAGACTAAGGACAACTGACTATGTCTTAATCCATACTCCCAGATTAATGACAGTTGACTATGTCCAATCCATACTCTCGGACTAGGGACAATGACTATGTCTAATCCATGCTCCCGAATCAATGACATATACTAAAGTTCTATTCTCTGAGTATAACTCACTCATACTCGTAAGAAAATACTACCCAATATTCCTCATAATTAATTTAGGTTTACTCTTTATCGTAAATCATCATATATAATCAGGTATGTTCTTTAACACGTATTTCAGGCAACATTAATTAACTCGCACATAAACATATAATTAATACTTCAATCAATACTTGTATTAAAATCATGTTCATGAAAGGGACTATGCACTCACTTGTTAAAGTGATGTTTCCAAACTCGGACAACGCTTCGCTTCTTAACAATATAATTTCCTTCGATGAAACCTAGTATTATTACCACTAGATTTTAGTCTAATATTACCGTGACTAATTATTAGTCTTAGCATTATTATTATTATATAAGCGTTTAAACAATATTTTCCAACCACTATGTACAGACATGAGCCAGACATAAAACACCGGAGGGCAGGACCATTTTGGCATATAGCACTTCTGAAATCCAACAATCCTATGCGGCCCTTTAAACCAGATTCCCCGTACCGCGAGTAGTTAAAAAGATATTATAACGACACTTATATAATAGCCCAAATATTTATTATAATTTCATAATAACAATACTAATTTTAAATATAAACTGTATTTAAAATAGGGTAAGCATAACTTACTTACAAGGGGGTTTTAGCTAGGAGCCGAGCTCTGCAGAGGCAGAACTTCGTCGCTGAATCTTTCTAAGAAAGATTCGTGCAACGCTTCAGCGCTCACCTTACTATACTAAAACTACAGAAAGAGAAGTCGAATCACGAGGGACCGAAATGCTCGGGGGATAAGAAGAGAAAGACTCTTGAATCAAGAGAATGCTGCAAGAAATATGAGA